TGCTTGAAGCTCTGTACTTTTTTCACCTATAACGTCCAAGATGATCACATTGTTTGAGATTATATTTCTATTACGTTACTAGAGCCTCGCACACTAACTCCCGAGTGTGTGATGCAAAATTAAAATCAGATACTCAGACACCAGTTGCAGGTGCCCTGAAGTCGCCGACGCAAACTTTGGGGAATGTATTTGGAAAAGTATTTGGTGAAGACCAAATACATTTGGTTGTATTTGTATCTTGTAGTTAAATGCTTTTTTGGAAATGTAATTAGATTTGTAATTAAATACATTTATGACGAAGTATTTGGTATTTGTATTTCGACACATATTTGCATGTATTTTGCCCATCCCTGCCGGCATTACACACTTTCAGCTGGTGCACGGCAGAAAGGTGACGACGATGCTCGACGCAATGCTGCCCCACGACCCGACGGACGACGGCACTGACGACGCCCAGCTGGTCACCCAACGAGCAGAAGAAGTACGCCAGCTAGCCCGTCTTCGAATAAAGGACCAGCAACGTGTGGACGCTGGCCGCTACAACCTTCGCCGCCGCGACGTGGAGTTCCAGCCCGGAGACAGGGTATGGGTGTGGACGCCCATTCGCCGCCGCGGCCTCAGCGAGAAACTGTTAAAACGCTACTTCGGACCCTACAAGGTCATCCGCCGCCTTGGGGACTTGAACTACGAGGTGCTCCCCGACGGAACTCGCCCATCAGGACGCCGCCAGCCACGACCCGAAGTCGTCAACGTAGTTCGACTCAAGCCGTTCTACGCGCGTTAGGATTGTGACACTACATGTTTGTTTTGTTTCGCCGTAATTGCTTTAGCCATTTCCGTTTTCCTTTCGTTTTTCATCGGGGCGATGCACTTTTAAAAGGGGGATAATGCCGCCCGCAGAGCCGAGAAAACGACGCTTGGTCACGGTCTTCTAGAAGATTCCCGGTCATTCTCGCAGCAGATGTAACTTTCCCTCTGCTTTGTTATTCTGGAAAGTGCCAGTTCATCCTCGACCCGAGCGCGCGACGCTCGAACCTTCTTTGCCGAACTTTCGAGATAATGACGCACGGTAGATAAGCAGCTGCCCGCGAGCTTGTCGAGTCAGTCTCAGTCTCGCTCGCGCTCTCTGATTCGCCGCCGAATCGCCGCCTGCTTTTCTGCTGCTTCGACGCGCTTTCGTTACTTATTTTTGGTTAGCATAAGTTCGCCCATTAAACCTTTCTTTTCAGTTCACTGTTCGCCTTCTCGTCGCCTTAATTCGTGACAATATATAGGAAAATAACTGACATATCTGACACATTACTTCTTCAATCAGACCTTAACCAGATATCATTATGGTGTAACCAATGGCTAATGAAACTAAACACTGACATATGTAAATATATAAGAATATCACGTGGTTCATCTCTGTCTCACACTTATCACCTTAACAGTAAGCCTCTTGCATCAGTGTCAAGTTGCAAATACCTTGGTGTTCATACAACGTCTAACCCTTCTTGGAAACTTCATGTCGATTACGTGATTAACAATGCTAATCGTATGTTAGGATACCTTAAAAAAAATTTCACAGACGCTCCGTCCTCCCTCAAACTAACCATGTGCAAACCTCTAATCCGCCCAAAATTAGAATATGCCACCGCCTGCGTGGGACCCCTCACACTCTTCACTAATTTCCCTTATTGAATCTGTCCAAAACCGTTCAGCCCGTTTTATCATGTCGAACTATCACCGCACTGCCAGCGTTTCTAGCACGAAGACCTCTTTAGGCCTGCCATCACTAACGCATCGCCCTAAAATCTTTCGTTTGTGTCTTTTCCATAAAATATTTCATGAAAATGCTGACCTTTGTCGTAAACTAATTATCCCACCATTCTATATCTCGGCTCACATTGATCATAGTCATAAAGTCGGTATGCCAAATTTTAAAACTTCGTTGTTTCAATATTCTTTTATTCCGCAAACATCATTTGATTGGAACCACCTTCCCGCCTCAATAGCTAATATTACTGATATTGTTCTGTTTAAGAGAGTTCTAACTAACATGTGCTCATTGTAATTATTATTTTGATGTCCACTCCCCTCTTCAATGTATCATTACCTTGAGGGTATTTGAAAAAAAGTAAGTAAATAAACCGCATGTCGGTACGGTACTCATCCGGATTGAAAGCGGTAGGGTAGGGTTTGAACCCAGCATCCCTGGGTTCTGAAGCGCCAGCTTTCGCTTCATGAACTCCCGGCTGCCGTGCGTCAATACAACAGACGCTGCCCCGATTCTCTTCACCCACGGTAGCAATTTTGATGAACACATCAGAGAGGGCAACTGGTAAACGTCACTATAGCTCAAAGACCAATATTGCCAGGATAAAAAAGCGCAAGTTTCCCTATTTTTAGAACAGTTGGGGAAACAGAGAGTTTAAGCGTAATCAAGCGACAAGAAAAAACAAAACGTCGACGCTGTAATAAAAAAAAAAAAACGACGTCCAAATGTAAAACTAGAAAAGTATATGTTTATTATTCTGAGCAGCGTAATACCTAAATGTCACAAAGCACAGCTTTTATGATGCACCATTCTCAAGATCCTGCATACAAAACCGACACGTTCAACAACATGCAAGCAGTTTTTACATTAATTTCAATAACGCGAACATCGCCTAATTGAGGCTCCGCCGAAGCGATGAATGTTCTCTCCTGCGTAACAACATTGATTGGGAAGCCAAGGCTTGTTCGTAATAAAACATATGGGACAAATCAACAGCCGTCAGACAAAAATTTTCCACCGCCGCGGTTTGCTCAAAAGAACAGAAAATGACCGAGTTTTGAAGAAATAGTGTAAATTGTTCTCTCAACTGACTAATTTTCTTTTTCAACAAAAAGGATATTTGTTTTAGCGAGGTTTATTGGGAGTTTGTTTTAAATTGCCAACCATGATCTGTGCATTCCTTGGTTGAGTTTTTTATTGTGAAGTGATTCCAACGATATGAAATGTGTTAAGGTGTCAACATTTTATGAAAACATTACCTCAATTGCAACTAAAAAGCGATTTCTATAAATAATTTATGATAAAGCGACTTACCTTGTGCGTGGGAAACGCTATTTGTATGGGCAACATTCCAGACATGCGAAGCCAGAAACTACTAGGTGAAGGTTAGTCAGAGTGACCAAACACACAAAGCCCACCCGCCTCAAACTGATATTTTTGCGATGCACTTTATATATATATATATATATATATATATATATATATATATATATATATATATATATATATATATATATATATATATATATATGTGTGTGTGTGTGTGTGTGTGTGTGTGTGTAATTCAGCGTACACTCCAATCTTGATGGTTTACTCATTATGATTAACCTAGATGAACAATTTATTCAAACACGCGATGTTTTATATCTCCATTTTCTCTTTCATACAATCACTGATTTAAATGGGCGGCATTTGCTCATTAAAGAGCTGATAGGATCACGTTAAACTGCCGAATAAGATGGCATTAGCTTCTCAAAGTTTAACACTAATCTCACAAGCCATTGTATTTGGGTCAATCACTTTCGAAAGAGCAGTTTACTGATGGCGGTGGCAGAAAGCAGTCTTCTCTTTTTCTGCAAATGGCCACTCATATGTCTGCGTGTTCGAGGGATGCGTCTCCTATTTGTGCTCTTCCAAATTATTAAGTCCCAAGTGCAGAGTGTTGAACCCCGCTAAGCCTCGTCGTCAATTTGCCATTTAAAATCAATCGACGGCATGGAGGGTCCTTACAGTTGTCACGCACCTAACTCTGCACCCTGGCATGTTTACGAGAAAGCGGCACTCATTAACGCGCATCAACGAACCATGGGTAGACGATCATTTTGGTTCGGCAGGCACGCTGAAAGAGATCACTCCAACGTACGCGACAGTGCTTTTTAAGCACGCAACTGCGCTCCGCGAGGCACCTAATAGTTATCCACAGAGTGGTCGCTGCATGGTTACAAGTTGTTATTGTGACAGAGCAGAAATACCCCCCCCCCCCCCCCCCCGTTCAATTAATGTACTATTCTTCATTATAGTCTGATGTTATCTTAGTTCCTATTTGATACGCGCAAGAAAAAAAGGAAAGAGCAAGAGTGGTACATATCATACAAAGCAATTCTTTTCCTAGAGTAGCTTGCAGCATCACAAACATAGGATGTGGCGCGTTCCCCCCCCCCCCCCTTCTCTCACGCTGTCCCCCACCTTTTTATAAGCGGCATTTTCTATTATACTCTCACTTTCTTAAACTGTCAATGATGATAAAAACTTACGGTTTTTTATAATATTATTTCAGTATGCGCTCAAGTGTTATTTTTTCTTTGCCTTGTTAATATTGATTGGTCTTGAGATTACATGGAATTTAAATTTTAGTCTGACGTTCCAGAGAGATATGTTCCGATATGGTCTGGCAGACAGGTGTGACTCAATAGCCTCGGCTTGATCCTAAAATTTTTGTAAAAACACAATATGACGTAAAGTGTTTTGTGTTATCTCATTGAGAGACGACGTCACCTTTCTTTACTCAAACTTCACTGAAACTGTAGTTACTTTCTTTCGCGATGCTGTGCTTAATATTCAAATGGGAATATCAATACGCTTGCAATTTATCAGTAATTCGGGGTCGCTTACAGCAAGGCAACGCATGACCTGAGCGAACAGAAAGCTTGTGCACTATTCAGAACCAGAAGCTTTGTTTCCTTCTTTGAGGAGGTGCAGAAGTCTCGGTGATCGGCATCTGAGCACTCTGCGAGCATGAACAATTGATGCGCACGAGGACCAATGGTGATTGTATGGTGTAAAATCAAGATCCAGGCCGGTAGAACTATTAACATCATTTTTGATGACCGCCTCCGACGACCTCAAGGTTCTCAGGATGACACCCTTGGATTCAAGACTTCCGAAGACCAGAGGTCATCATGGCGCACGCAGTCACCACCAGTTCTTTCGGTTCTTCGATGTGTCACTCTAGAATGACGCATCATGCTTCACTGACCGTCGAGTCTGGTAAAACGGCCACCGGCCGGCCTTCTATGGTGATGAAGTTGACCACGGAAGATTCATCTTCTTCGGCGTGATCTTCGGACTTGATGTCGACGCTTGCGTCGCCGTTGTCGCTGGGGACGCTGGAGATGGTGATGATGCCGGTGTCGCTTTCGGTGCCGTGCTCGCTTTCTTGTTGTCGCCGCAGGCCTCCCGTCGTCGCGTACCAGGCGAGAGCGGCACCGCAGCCCACGAGGCCCGTGGTTGCCAAGAGGAGCACGAGCGCGATGTTACCGGTGAGGTGGTTACCTGCAAGTCGAGACCATAGGCCCAGAGCCGTGAACGGGAGGCGCCTTGGTAGGCCGCTATTCAGCGCGCCTAGTGTGCGCAATGGGCAACTTTGAGAAGGACAATTTTTGTATAACCAGTGTAACAGGACCGCAGTACAAAGTAGACACACACTTCAAAGAGTATCTGCAGACTGTCTTTTGTCATGTATTAATAGTGTGAGCGCGGCTTAATTACTGAACGATTAGATACGAGCGGAGCGTCAGAGTGTGGTGGGGCACTCGGCGATTTGAGCTAGAGATCCGGACCTGTAGTTGCGGCCACGGGCCGTCCTAAGTCGCCAAACTTCCGCATAAAATGGTGACGATTGTCGAAGCAAACTTTACTGCACTGTGGGTTCGCTCATCGACGCACACCGGCGTGTAAAATGTACTGGCGCAATCCAGATGCATGTCCCGCATTCTACACCTCCTCTTCCACAGTTGGGTAGAGCATGACCCCAGGGTACTTTCTGTTATCAAACTCTTGCATCCGCACAACACAATCTATATATTTTATATATTAATTTTTATATTGTAATTTATTTCATTCTCATCATCGCAAGAAAAGTTTTTTTTCTTTATTAGACATCAACCTGTTAACGTTTGCGATTCAATGAGACGAAAATGTAGCATTAAAAACTTATACAAGTCTAGACAAAAAGCCCTTGTCGCATTCTGCTCTCGTCCAGTCTAAAGGTCCCCAGCCCTCGTTCTAAGTCGTTCGTTCTAAATTCTTATGCCGGCTTACCTCCGAGAAATGGGAAAGGTACTGAGTCGAATTGCTTTACCCTTATATTTACGCTTGTAGTACCTCCGAATACGAATGTTTACGAGAAACGGTACGCAGTGAACTGCATCCCGTGTGACACGCAGCTCGCCTTTGAACAGACAACGTTTCTTTTAGTCCGGAACGACGGGAGTTTTTAGAGCTGGTTGCTCTAAAGCAGAGGTCCCCCAACCCCAGCCTGCGGGCCAAATCTGGCCCATGGAGATCGTCCCGCCGCGGGCCGGTCCTTCCAATGAAGCCCGGCCCGTGGCCCGCTCACAGCAAGTTCGCTGCTACCGGCGCAAAATAAAGTGCGCCAAGAAAAACGGCGCCGCAACGCGCACAAACTGCGTAAACAGAGATACCCGACAAAACGAGATAAAGCTATCTTTGTAATGTGTGTCCTCTCATTATATTATTCATTGGGCATTATCATTACCAGCATTACTATTCTTCGACCCCTGTTTCATATCTGGGTAACAATGTATGTTAAAATTCCCTTGCGTTCCAATGTCCCCGTGAAGTTCTCCTTGTAAACTACACATTGTACACTTGTGAAGAATGCCAATTGGTGAACAAAAGGCTAGGGCGCAAACGAGCTGGTGGTGGTTGAACATTTGACTAAGAACACCGAGACTGGGACGAGAAGAGACGGACAAACGCAAAGTCTCAGCAATTGCTGAAGGGACGAACGACTGACGGGAACTAAACGTTCAATGGAGCGAACTTGTGCCAAAAACAAGTTTCTAAAAATGCTAGCGTCGCATACGTTGATGGCAGTAGAGAGTTTTAGGGAACCGTTTTTGCATATCCGATACGGTACGATGGGCCCTCCGGTACGAACTGCGCATGCGCCTGTTTCCTGCGATCTTACCGTAATGCGCTGGTGGAACCGTAAGGCACGACCGGCACGACCAATGGCCGACATGGACAGTCTCGCTTGGTTGGCAAAACGGCTATTTCGCTGGCGGAGAGGGCGTGCCGGGGCTCCAAACATGAATAAAATAAATCGTGGCAGTGCCTGGCAGGAGCGCCATGTGTGACAGCAAGTTCATAAAGTTTGAGTCAGCAAATAAGAAAAAGAATAAAGAACAAAGCGCAATAGGACTTTTTCAATAGAAATAAATTGGTGTTTTGCGTACCAGGAAATTGTCTGCTGTGTAGCTCAGTGGATTGGAGCGCCCATTTCTAGAGCTCGTAAAGGACCGGTAGTGGAGAGTTCGAATTCCGCTCGCCAAGAGTCAATTTTTTTTTTTATATATAATAAGTTTTTTTTTTTGTTCTTTTTATACAAACATTGAATGTGCATTTTGAGCACTTATCACCCGTTTTTTACAGCTGTTGTTATGACTGAGGATTATCTGTAGTGGCAACAGAGTGAGCAATAAGCCTTCTGCATCAAGGCTCTGGATACTTTTTAGTTTAAAAATGTTGCATGAATTAAACATTTCTGTACAAATGCTAATCACATATATCTTATAAAACGAGCCCTTTGAATGTTGAGTGATAGTTTTAATAACTGTACAGCAGTAAAGTTACAGGTTTTCCTTTATATTTTCTTTGTGGTCGTACCGTACACGGCGCAACGATCGGTACTCGGGCGTACGACCGTGATCGTCTGCTATCTGTACCGTAAGAGAGCAACATGAGCGCCGCATCTACCTTCGTCCCTCCGCCTCCTCCTCGCAAGCGGTTTAGAGCAGTAGACAACATCTTTCTACTTCGGGAGGTGCTAGGCGCTACTCCTTTTTCGCTCTAGCACTTTGGAATGACGCAGCGTTGAAAAAGAACTTCTCGTTGCGAGGAGCGAAGGAACGGATTGACCTCCTCGTAAATAAAAATAGTGATTTGAGACGTACTGAAAGATACGTCATTCCAAAAATATACACACTGTATGGAAAGAAAAACAGAAATCATTACATTTCTTCCTTATTTAACGAACTCCCAGAGTCCCTTATGAATATAGAATCCACTAGGGTACTAAAAAGGAAACTAAGGAATTGGTGTCAAGCATTTGAGCTGTAGATATCGTAGCCTAGCCATTGGAGATGTTTCGTACTTTTATTTCATGGTTGCGTGAGTAGACTTGGCTATAAACACCCATATTTCATGCTTTAAAGTGTTCCTTTTTGTTATAATAGTAAGGGTGCAGGCGAGCTGGTGGATGTTAACCATGTTGAATATACCTGAGACTGGGGTAGAAAAACATAAAAGTCGAAGAAACAGAACGGGACAGGACGACGTCTCAATTGAGACGTCGTCCTGTCCCGTTCTGTTTCTTCGACTTTTATGTTTTTCTACCCCAGTCTCAGGTATATTCCTTTTTGTATTTATTTGTGCTGCTAATTTTGTGTTCCTTTCATTTTTTTTTTTGTGCTGCGGAGTGTTTTTTTGTTTTTTTTTCTTGTAACAACATGTATTGTAGTTGGTCGCCTGGCCCCACATACAAGCAGAATGCTGCTTTTGTGGGCCGGCTCTTTATTTTGTATGACTTGATCTTAAAATAAAAATTGAATTAAATTGAAAATTGAATTCAATTAGCTTTGTACAAGAAAAATGGCCGCATCAACTTGAGAAAGTGAGTATACTTTGGTTATTTTTGTATTTTCTTCGAGATTTAATATTTCTAGTTTTATTAGTCCGTAGCTTTCTTAAAGGGGCGATGCAACGATTTTTGAATTTTGCGCAAATACCGCTTAGAACGGATCCCTGACGTCAATGACCTGTGAAATACCCGTTGGTTTTTCACCACACGCAATCGAAGTCGCAGAAAAAAAAAAAAATAAACGAGCAGAGTTCACCCCCTCAACTCACAGCCAGAACGAGTGGCTATGTGATCTGGAGCCGATTATATGCCACCAAGGTTGATCATAGCCATGCGCTGGGGTTGGCAAGGCACAGGACACGTGCTGAGTTCCAGACATTGTTATGGTTCGACTGTTGTCGTCATTGCAGCGATAGGACACAGGACACTACCCGAATGCTTCTCGAGCTATCGATTATCACGAGCCCAAATCGAGTGTCCACGCCATGCTCGGGTCCAATCTATGAGTCGCATACGAATATCGTCACTGGGCAGTGCTGCTACCGCCCAGCTACGTCATCAGATTTCGCGAAGGAGAGATTCAATGAAAACACTCGGTTTTGTCCTCGAAATTACAGCACAACGAAGGCGTTTCTTGGTCAGTGGCGTTGCGTGCGAGTATCCTTGAGTCCCACTAGTGCCAGTAAGGTCGTGTAAAGTGAAAAACATTCCAATTGAATATCGTTGCACCGCCCCTTTAATACTCGATCCTGCATTGGGCTTCGAGGCAAAGAGACAGGATCGCTAGCAGACGACTTCGAATGTTGATGATAAGCGCGCGCGAGCGTGTTCTTATGCCAAATCGAGTTTGCTTTCGGCAAGGTTTCGGCATATCAGGACGTGTTTGGTGTAAACATCATATTTGGTCGATGTAAAACACCGAAGCTTGCCCGCTGAGAACGCATGATTTATTAGAAAACAAGTTACCATGTACGGTCGAGGCATTATTTTATTTCTCAAGTATATAAATCTGGTAAACTGAAAGAAAAAAAAAAACAAAATACGCTGGCACATCATTCGTAGTATCCGCACATCATTCGTAGTATCCGCACATCATTCCTGGTCTCACAACTTTTTTGTTTACTCAAAAGCTACGCCAAGTTGAACGTCCTATGCCTTGCCGCCAACAAGCGCCTTCTCTTACTGTATCGGTGCTCGGTGGCACCCGAAAGAAATGCGACTGACTCCGTGTCACGGCAAACCAAAAAGAATGTTTATTCCCTCGTGCCCCTGCACAAGTCACGGGCTCCACGGCACGCGCGTGCGTGCCTCGCTTATAGAAAGCGGGAAGTTCAAAAGAGACTCACGCCACACTTAGTGCGCAGACAGTCATACAAAATCACTTTTTCTAAATTTCTTTCGCTGAATAGAGCCGACTCCAAGTCACGGTCAAAACGATCGAGCGCCATTGTTGTCGGAAAGCTCGTCTGCTTCTTTAGCCGACGAACATTTTAGAACTTCGCTGTGCTAGGGGCGACACGCCGTGGTGCGCCAGGTTTTGTATTACGGAAGCGCATTCATTCCAGTAAAAAAACGAGACGAATTATAAGTAGGTATACTATATTTTTGGTTCTCTATATATTTAGGGTGCGATCTTTATTTACTTAAGTTTCTGCGATTTGTACAAACACACGCAACTTTGTCTTTTCTCGATGAGGCGGATGCAGGTTTCCGTTGCCAGGGGGCGCGACCTGTACCGATCGTCTGCTATCGTCTGCAAATACGGTTCCCCCAAAGCCGTTTCAGGGCACACGATCGGTCCATACGCCCGATCCAAGGTATCGATCGTTTTTGTTTATCGATCGTATTTTGTTCCGGTTCCCTAAAACTCTCTAGTGTAACAGCGGGATCGAGCGCTGGGGCTAGACTGACCCCAGCTGGCCACGCAAAGCCTCTTATGTAGAGGTGCTCCTGGAACAATCGGCGTAGATGGTTCGTCGCGTTGAATATCCTGACCTCGAACATGCAACACGGTTGTCGAATTTATTAGAACGCGACATTAGAGAAATAACAAAAAGGTGCGTTCGCTTCCAGGAATCGAACCGCCGCTTTTTGCGTGAGAGCCGAGCGCAATAACCATTCGAACACGGACGCACTTACTCGGAGACGCGCGTAGCAATATTGTGTTTAGTTTCCAGCGTCTCATCTTTCGCATGTTGTCCAGCATTAGTTCTATTATACCCCTGTCAGACGGGCATTTTAAAAGCCGTTAGAACAAGCTCCTTTATAAAATCGGCGAACCAGCGCACGGCGTAGGGCACGTGCGCACTCAACATAGCGTGCTGACCGGCCGATTTGATAAAGGAGCTTAGTGAAAGGGACCTTTCGAATGCCGCCTTACATGAGTATTATTCTCTTTCGTCTTCTCCCCTGTGTGAACATGCCAAAGGACTTTGCTTTATACCTGGCGAGTTTTCTGGGTCCCAATTATTGCGTAATGTTCTAAATAGCTAAATGTTGATTTTTTAATAAATATATGCATTCATGCAACTTAGGTTATTTTCTTTTATTATTTACTTCAACTTTTAGTTCACTATTTATATGCTTATCTACGATTATGTATTTAGTTTCTCTTAATTTATATTTGCTTATTTATCTTCTGGCCCTCAAGTCAAATACAGATCACTGATCCTGCCCCTTTGCCAAAGTTTGGAGACCCGTGCTCTAATGAGTTGACTCACGTTCGCTCCGAAAATAAGTTGATAGTAGTGACCGTGACCGCCGTAGTAACAGTAGTAGTAGTTGTAGATTTTGTCAACGGCGGTGGCGAGTGTCGGAGGAAAATAATCTCATATGTACGCATTTGCAGTGATCGACCACAAGCAAGATCTGCAACGTCAGGCGGGCAGCTTTTTTCAAGCCATATTGCACCACTCATTTCGTTTTAACTGATTTTGGCTAACGGACAAGAACAAACAACGTAAAAAGAAAAGAAAACTGCCCTTGTTTATTTGCTTTAAATTAAATTTGGCCGTGATATCAGGGCGTTAAATTTTGTTCGGCTAGTTTCCGTTTTGAGTTGTCTCAACCTACCAAGGAAGGTACTTACGAAAACGCCCTAATGCCCTAGCACCACACAACCACACACACGTACACATTAATATATTTAACGTTATATTTTTAAGGCAGTCGGTAGTGTAGCGTGGGACAACGCAACGCTCGGAGTTAGTAATCTCGCGAGGGTACGCCGGCGACACTAGCGATTTTAACCGCCCCAGTGTTGCCTATTTGGCCACAGTGGCGCTGATGATCAACCGACGGTGGCACGCTCTGGAAGCCAGCCCAGCGCCAACACTCTGACGTTGAGCACAGCGAACACACCGTAGAGGGGAACGCGCGCTCTTCATTGGCCGGCGAGCAGGAGCTTGATATCTGCGCGCAATCAGTATCTTACGCGACGCGCTACGCCACGTTTGGTACGCTCAACGTCGGAGTGTAACAGAGCCTTTACGAAGCCATAAGAACGAGAGACGCCGGCGTTGGGCTCTCGCATGCGAACGGGTTCGATGAGTGCAGTGTGAACAAAGGCAGCTTACTTTCGGTCTACCCATTAATCCTTCCAATCAGAGCTCGGCGTTCTAACGTGCCCGCGTGCTTTTGTCTCCTCCTCTTGTTTCTTGGCGCGTACTCGGAAACAACCTAGTCAGGCTTCGAGCTCCGTGCTCAACTTGTTCTGCTGACTGAAACGGGTCAATCCACAGACGAGACCCGAAGCTGGAACACCCAAAGGTATTCACACCAAAACTCTTCACCGATTTCAAAGCTGCTGCAGCTGACAGAAAGAAAGAGAGAGAAGTACGGCGAGGGGAAAGAGTGCGACGCTTCATTTCCAGCGCCTGCAGCCAACCTGCAGCGCAAGACAGAACCGCGACATCTGGACCGTCGGCAGAAGGGATGAATGACGCAGCACTATTTGGTCAACCATAGAAGCGCGCGAAGACTAGCTCAAATCGGAAAACTCTGCGTCATTCATAACCTTCCTACGGCAAGGGCGAATGAGGGCATGTCAGATCTCTTTGCGGTGTTGAACCTAGGAATGACGCAGCACTATTCTATTCGAATCAATATTCTCGTACCCCTAGCCTGAACTTATCATTTGCTTAACACCTTGCAGCGAGGGTAGGTCGTCGGGGATTCCTTCAGCCCGGTGCAATGAATGTTCCCGTTACCAGCGTCTCCTTTCTCCAGGGTCCTGCTGCTGAGCTGTTCGGCGGCGATTCTGGAATCCCTCACGTTGCTGTCCTTGTGTCGCTGGTATGTGAACACCTCGTTGGGGTCAGGGCTCGGGTCGGCCAACAAGAGTCCGCCGGGAGTCTTGGTGTGTGTCCCTGGGTAGTTCTTCTTCTTGCCTCGCAGCAGGGGAAGGTTCACACTGTGTGGAAGGTAATTTCGGTCACTGCGGGGAGCTTGCGAAAAACATTTGGGGTGTGTGTATGTTTATACAGCCTAGAACTAGTCTGCCTAAAAGGGCAACTGGTCTCCCAGCTGTAGATGAAAAATTTAGCCAGTGCAGTACAAACGCAAGCCTGGGGTCTTTAACGTGCATCACGCAGTAGTGATACACGACCGCACGCCGGTACAATGCTCATCGAGATCGAAACGGGCAGGGGTGGCGATTGAACCCGGAATCCCTGGCTTCTCCAAAGCGAGCTTTCGCTCCACGTGCTCCGAGCAGGTGTGCGCTTGCCCACTGAGCCACCGATCCCCCTGAATACGTCATCGCCTGACACGATGACGTAATCAGGACACTGACACCCTGACGTGACATGTCAGAATGACGTCACCTGGTACCGCATTGTCACGTGACAACATGACATCACGTGATATTATGACATCACGTGACATCATGACGTCGAATGACTGTGACGTCACATGACGCAAAGACGTCACGTTTCAACATGACAACACATGACATTCTGACTTCACGCGGTCAGACCTGCACGGGCAAGAAAGGCCCATAAAGGGTTCCCTATTACCTTAGAAGTTAAAACACAGCGTGCATTTTCGCAGCAACTTTTTTTCACGGGCGATGTAGAGGTGGCATTTGACATGCGTGGTGGACTCACGAGGCGGTGATGGTGTAGGTGTTGGGCAGAAAGCTGCACACGACGAGGTAACGTCTCGTGTTGTGCGTGATGATGTCCCTGTTCTCGTGCACGATGATGTTGGTCTCCATCTTGGACCCATTCTGCAGAAGTCGAGATCCAAACATAAAGACAGCAGCTTCCGCAATTAACTTCAAAATACGAGGGCGAGGATTCGAAAGTTATCTGCACTCCGACCATTCTAAAAAGTTATGTGTGCCGCGCTGTCTTATGAGCGCATTCCGTACAAGGTTACTATCTCTCCAGTCACTGCTGTACGAATTTGAACGTGTTAATTCAGTTCGGTTGTGACCGAGGTGCACAATGTGGGGAGCCATTGTTTTCTAGTCTGAGGGTAACACTCCCTCGGACCAGGAAGAATGAACCGATATTTATCGGGACTCCGTGACCAAATGAAGGAAGTGTTTGTATCGCGAAGTCTGTTCGAATATTTACAGAAGCTGAAGGAAGAACGCACAAGTGTCAGCGATAAAGAGGAACTGGACACCCGTCCGCGACTGACGATGATATTGAGCGTGCATGTGAACTAATTTTGTCGGGCAGACGAGTGACAGTGGATGATGTGACAATTTCTTTTTCAAATCAGTCGAGGGTTTTCCTATGCAACAATCCATGGCACAATTGGATTGCGAAAGGTTTATAATAAAATCAACTTTACAGCCAGAGTGCGGATATATTTGTAATCTCTCTCGTAGCTACAAGTAGGTGTATTATTAGTAGCAGTGGTAGTAGCAAGATGGTAAATGGGCCATTTAGTTCATAGCTAAGAAAACCAGCACCCAAATAACACAAAAACCAAGGCAAAGAGGCAAGACAAACAGCCTCGCTCAGTTGTACCTTTTGGCTTGGTCCTTGTGTATTTTCGGCGATGTTTTCGGTCGTAGTTGTACGCGTACTACTAATAATGGTGGTGTTTGTACTTATGGTAGTAGTAGTAGTACTCGATTATAAAGTAACTGGTTTTTTTGACGTTTCACACAATAATAAACTTGATAATAATACTTTCGCTTCGTGCACCAGACATTTCGAGGAGATAAACTGTGTATATTATCGGTAGAAGACAGCCAGTTTGTCTACGATCATACAACCCGAGTAAAAACACGGGGCCATTAACAACACTCACGTGTCCCACACAACGTCAGTGTTCCTATCTCGGCTTTGAACCGAAATTTTGTTACTCTCGGAAACAACTTTGTGTACGGCCTTGAAGTTCCAAAAGCCTCATTCGTCACAAGAAAGAAAGAGACGCATTAAAGACGGGTAGGCGTTTTTGGAGCTTTTATTCAACTATAACGCACTTCCCTTCAAGCTAGCGATTTGTACTCTATGTTTGATGATGAAATTTTCAAAATGTTTCACTAACTCAAAAAAAAAAAAAAAAAAGTGCTGGACGTATTGCACGAACATCTGTGTTAGCACAGATGTTCGTGCACGAACATCTGTGTTAGAGGTTCATCTCGCGCTATGGTGCTGTCGAGAATTGAAGCGGGCCGCAACCCGTCGGAAATTGGCTTCCGGAATTGCACTCCTAAGGGGAAAAGCGGGCGCACGTTTTCATCTGCGCTTGATTCTAAGAGCGCGTTGCGAAAAATGGTTACGTGCCAGATACCTTGGAACATTCCGCGGTGAAATTGGGGAAAATATTGGTTTGTTAAGGTGTTTTTTTTTTCTATATTCGTGGCGCTAAACACGGTTCTGGAATAACTTCTTGCGTGCATTTGTTCGCACTGTTCGGCACTTTTAGCGCGAAGACGACGTCGCCAATTTTTTCTGCTGGAAATTTACCATCCAAAATAACGAATGGCATCTGCAAAAACAAGAAGGACTGCAAGAACTACGCAGTAAAACAAGATTAGTAACACCCCGTGCTTGTAGACGATCGAAATAAAATGATAGCCAAGTAATTACAGACCGCAACAGTTAAGTTTCGTTTTATTCTCTCTGCTCACGTATTTCTGCGAATGTTCTTCTTCAAGCGTTCAAAACGTCATCCGGACCCCCGAAAATTAAAAAAAAGGGAAAATTCAAGAAACAGGGTACCGATAAGACATGACTGGCAAATAAAACAATTCTAAGAGACATCTTTTACAGCCCACTTAGTTTATTGTTTACGTTTTGGGTGTTTTCAGGCCCTACGGAGTCAATTTAAATATAGTAGCAGGCTGGCATATTAGCAATACATCAGCCTTATCGGAATGTTGGCACATCTTGAACACACTCTGCATACCTTTCCTATGTTATTTTGCTTAAATCTGTCGCTCGGTTTTACACGCCTTATGTGAAGAACAGATTTGGGCCTGAAATATTGCGCAGTTTGACATCGTTCGTTGGCAAAGAAAAATACACTAACTAAAGCAATCGCACTTTTACAGTGTTAATAAAGCTACGTTCTACCCGCTACGATCCCTAATACACAAGGCGGTTCCTGTTATGCTCTGGCGAAGAGACAAAACGCACGCGCGATATCGTCTCATGAGGGCAATACTCTTATAGTTCGTCTCACCTTAGTATGGACTATTGTTAGCCGCGCGTGCTACTAAAAACGTGAGCTAGTTGCTACAAATGAAGCCTCGGCGGCTGAACGAGCGCTCGTGCAACGAGTGCTCCAGTCAAGGCAGTCAAGGCCAGCCGCTCGCGCTAGCACAACATTCGCGGTTAGTCCATGCTAAGGTGAGACGAAGTATAGTACGCGGAAACGCGAAGACGGACGCGCGTCTGTATTGTTGGGGCTACTCTGGTAAAGCTTCAGCCAGTTTGTCGCTTGGGGCGCGTCGGGGATCGGCTGATGATGACGTCATCGCGGGTCTTGTCTTCTACACTGTTAGCAAGTCCCGTGTATTTGGTGAATATTTGGGGTGAAAAACACGCTATTTACACAAATTACCATAAATTTACACGTTGAGTAACGGATAATTCGTTCAAAAATCATGCGAGGTTGTAAAAAACGTGTTTTCGTTCGGTCATACACGCATAACCATGTAGCCGACCTCGAAAACACGCACCACCGCCGGCGACGACCGCAGCATTGCCGGCTACCGAAGCACCGGAACGCTTGGGGACACACCTAGAAAGGACCGTGGAGTCAAATTCCGCGGAAAGGAACATGTCTCGGAGACAGATAAGCACCAAAAGCAATTACGCCATGTCGCGAGACGGGGCGAACCCCGCGCTTACCGTGCGTGCTGGCTGCCATTGTTTGTGGTCGACAATGGCAATGCGGCTTCCCTTATGTCGCCCTTGTTTGTATTTATATTAGGGGTCTTGATAATTGTTTTTCACACACCAAAAGTAAAGTTAGGCGTATAATTACTCGTTCTAAACAGTTACAATGGCTATAAAAAGCGTGCCCTTGATCTGAACACGCGACATTGCAGTTGGTTTCGTTTTGGCTTCAACCTTTCCAACTGCAAGCGAAGGTGCCGCCGCTTCCCATGCATCCTCCTCAGAATTTACGGCGCTCCGTGGTGTCCAGTGTTGCTGCATCTGTAGGTCATCTTTAAGTTAGAGCTGACAGAGAAAATTTGGCCACGGCGTAACGCCGATGTAAGCTGGAAGCTAGAACCGGTTTGCTTTCGTTGTTTTTTATTTGGTCGGAGAAAATCTGGCAACAACGCACGTTTAACATGGCGCCGGTATTCTTTTGGTTGGGCAAGAAAGTTGGAAGGTGCTCGGTTTGCGAGCACATGTAGCGAAGACGTGACCGGAGACGTGCCCCTGTGATGTTCCCGGACGACGGAAAGCATCATTCGCAATCGTCGTGTGTGCTTGGAAAGCGAAGGGTGTCACCGGGTCCACGAGTGCGCAACCACAAGCCATGGGTCACGACAGCGCTGCGTTTACTTCGGCGATCTCGTTCTGTTTGGTGCAACGCGGCGATGCGACAAAGAGCTGAAGTGTCCGTGGTGTGTGGTGCGGTGCTTAGAGGTAGAAAGCCACACTAACACGGAGCGCGAATTGGTTGCTGTGGGTTTAGTCCGTCGTAATCAGCTGATCCGGTCCAGCTGGTCCGGGAGGACGCAGCGAGCGTTTTTAAAAGTAAATCTTCCCTCGTTCTGTTTCAAAATGTGGAAGTATACCGACGCATACCGTGAGTAAAAAGCTGTGGACGTTTTCAACAAAATTACGTCGTTTAAATTGAACAATGGACTCCGGATTGTTGTCCTAGATCTGCCGTTTTTATGCTTCGTGTTGGACTGCGTTTGCACAGCGACGCACACAGCTCGAGTAGATGACTCGGTCCTGCAAACGACCGGTAACAGAATTTCATGGAAACTTAAGTCACCACTGATATTTTCCTTTAAATCTCGTGCGAGTTTGTTGCGCTCATCATGCGGTGTGAATAAATTGGGGCAAGATTTCCTACCTGCCCACAGATGCATGAACTGAGACCATTTTTTGCGTGGTGAACATAGTGCTTTTTCTTTGTTTTGGAAAGGCGCTGGTGCATTTACTATGGTACAATCACTTGAGAGTTGAGAAATTGGAGAGAGCGAGCAAGCTTTCCCAACTTTGTCTGTTTTCTATGGCACTGCCCTGTTTCAGTTTCAGTAGGCATATCTAAAAGCGGGTACAAACTGCTCTAAAGCAGGTAAAAAACAGAAGAAGCTTAGGACGGTGCGGACTCCGTGTTTCGCGCTTTTCGTAAGGTGACTGGGTGAATGCTTTTGCGAGGTATGCGGAGTGGGTCCATATCACAAGAGCGAATGACATTTTAGCGAACGGCGACATTTGAGCGAATGGTCGTTTTAGCGAATAACGGGGGCGCGCGTTAACCCATCCGTCGAGCTGCGCTTTACGCCGCTTCGCGGCGACAGTCTGCGGCAACTCATTACAAAAATATGAACTCACTTGGCCCACCCGAAAACGCCGCTTCGCGGCGTCCGACTATTCGCTAAAGTGTCGTTCGATGAAACGTGGGCGTTCGCTAAAACGTCATTCGATCAAGTGAGTGCCTCCCATGCGGAGTATGCAAGCGATTTTGTTATGCCTGTCGTTTGCGTCTCTCCAGTAAAACGAATAAGATGATCTACAAAGGCGCAATCACAAGCCAAGATTTACAATAGCAGTGCGTTTGCTTCGGTGGTCCGTGTAGTTGTATTTTACTCTGCTCTCTGCAACACTGTGCCATGACGAAGAGCTGGAACGGTCACGGTTTGTGCTGGCCTCCCCGTTGACAGAAACCCGCATCGCCCGCGTCGGCACCGAGTGCGCTTGGGCTGTTGATGCTCACAAGCCACGAATGCTTTCATCCGTGGCTTGTCGCCAGCTGATCCTGCTGCTAAACGGTGAGGAAGCGGCGAGAGTGACCTCTGAAGTGAATGTAGATCCTCGTTCATTCAGTTATCCGGTGTCAAAGTGTGGAAGATGTCCAACGTGTACTGAGGGCGGGAACTACGAGCGTTTTGCCTTGCTTTTATAACCGGAACCAGAGCAACGAAATAACTGCCTTGCGTACTTAAAAATGACGGAAGCAAAACGTTTCAACAGGTCGAATACGTCACCGGGGATGTAGGCGAGACGGTGTACACTGTTTAAACGCTTGCAGTATCCACGAGTGGTACCAGGAAAGCGACGTCAGCAGATAAGGAGCTCGCCATTCAGCATAATGCAGAGCTACGGGCCCGTGTATATTCAAAGTTCGGAATGGTAACAGCGTGGCAGTGTAAAAAAAAAAAAAAAAAAGACGCATTAGCGCCCTACACCAGTGATCACGAATAACACCGGCCACGAACTCCCGAGCCCCACCGCTCCACTCAGCACCGACACGACAGACGACAACAAACTGCATCAACACGACCCAAAAGTGAAGGCGTCTGCTCCTGTACTGCAACTAGCGGAAGTGAAGTGTTGAGCACATGTCCTTCACAAGAATATATAAAAAAATGCTTTGCGCAAGCATCATTTCTGTTTATTATTAATTATATAATGATAAAATCTTAATAATTAAAAAAAAATCTGATTCAAGCTAGTCGGACTGCTCATAACACTGGTCTAGCATAAAAATAACAAAAATTTGAATTTCTTCATGACCGGTTTAGGATTTATTGTCAATACATCGTTATCTTTCGCAACGGACTAACATTATAGATTTTGCCTCCATACTTTTTAAATGCGAAGAGTTCTTACATACGGCTGTCCATTGCGCCGTGTTTTGTGTCTTCTTCTATAAATCTGTAACGGTCAGCGACTAAATAGCTCACCCGCACATGCCAAGCTTATATACGCTGCGGAGAGAAAAGCATGTTAAGTAGGAAGTGTCGGGCGCAGTGTCGGGTGTTGTGTTTGTGTATATGTCGGTGATGTGTAATGCGTGGTATTGGTGTTGTGCGTGATGTATGTAGGGGTTGTGTCTACTTGTGATCGATCGTAGGCTCGTAGCATATTAACAAACTTTTTTTATAGACTGCTAGAAATCCCGCTAGGTGGCGGAAGTTACCGCCCGATTTCAAATAGTTTGCTCGAGTTATTTGTCCATTTAAGTTCGCTTTTCTGTCTAGCGGCTCGATCGTAGCTACCGTAGCTACTGACGCCGCCGACCGCCGACGACGCACGTACGTATTTTTGCGCGTAGCTACGTCCGCCGCTTGGAGACTGTTTAGTCTGTATAAAAGACATCGAAGGAGAACAAACGCCGTCCTGTGTGCTTTCAATTCAGCCGAAAGGCGCGCGGCTTGCTGGGCTCGTCCCTCGCCTGTTCTCGGCTGCTGGCCGCCATGTTTTATGAGCACGCTCAGCCAACACGCTGAACCGTGCTTAGCGGAAGAAAAACACGGTGTATCGTGTTAAGTTTACACAGCACCTCATGTGTAGACGAAAAACACAGATGGCTGCGTGTAAAACGAACACGTTTCGACGTGTCCGCTATGGGACAACGGTTTACACGTCTGGGCGTGTTATTTTTGCTAACAGTGTAGCTGGTATCGATGCGGTGCCTGTTCTTTCGTTCCTATGCGCCTCAACGCCATTAGGTTCTTCTTAGAGCAGAGCAGCCTTCGTTTCGCTACCAAAGTTACCACCGCCCTCTCCTGTTTCACATCCGTAACTCTGGCCGCCACATATCAGGTGAATAGGTGCGGTCTTTTTTTTTTTCTTTTCTCCTATCCTGCAGTTGTTTGTTCTTATTTTCACTCGAGCCGAACTTTCCCCGAGCTTCGCTTTTGGAACGACGGCATGCCGTGGGATCTCGGCCTAAGGGCTTTCATATCCGGGCAGATTGTGTGACGGGTGAGATTCGGAGAATGCACGTCACGTACGCCCGTGCCGAGCGACAGTCCCGAGCTGCGCTCTGCAGGTAGTTGAACTGCTGACTGCAGCTGCTGGAGTTTGGAGGGACATTTCGGCACTTTTTTGTCGGTTTACACGCGGAAGACATAAACAAATCGGCTTCTTTCTTTATTTTCTTTTAGCGGGGAGAGCTTCATCGTTAGGCAGTTCCCAATACCGGTCACGTATCGGTTGAGTCGTTACGGGCAGTAGCACGCAGGCATATGTGTTACGTTCCGCACCGCCAACAGACGGACACTCTTTTTCTTTTCGTTTTTTCTAGTCCCGAGTTCGATCCGGTTTCAGGTAATCGATTCCAGTTTGTAAATTTTAGCGGATTAAGTTCCTGCGTTTTGCCGTTTGCATCGTTTAACTGTGCCTTCGGTTAGAAGCGACAGGACAGTTTGAAAACGACCTTCTATTTTTAGCTCTAGGTAGAGGTAAGGATCGTTAGCGGGAACTTGTTCAATCCCCGCACGTAATCCGTGGAATACGCAGAGATCCACACACGTGTATTTCGAACTAATCAACTTAATTTAACCGAGCGTTGGGAAAAATTACGCCCTCGCTTTCTCTCTGTCTCTCCTGACAGTGCTAACGAGGTTTAATATCAATTAATTACGAGATCGGTTAACTGGCTGTCCGAATAATATTTCATTCTGCAAGAGGTGTGTGGGTTCGCGAGCAAGTGAAACGTCATGCCTAATATACCTGCGCGCATCAAATGTCTTTTGTGTAGTCATGTACTGAGTTTTCTGAATCCCGCCCATCATTTTACTCCTCTGTTTCATTGGTAGTCTCTGTCTTCTACGAAAGTGTAAACTCAAAAAACATTATTTGTTTCCGAGTTCAAGTTGATTGTTCAGCAATTTTGACGATTTTACTGAGACTTGCCGACCGAAAAGCGCATTCTTCCTATGTCGAGTTCGTCAGTTATGCCCAAATTAACGTCGGAAAAGTTTTGTTTTATTTCTTCTTGAGATATGTCGCATATCGTTCTTATTTCTCTCCCATTAAGACGTATCTCATTCATAATGAGCGAATATATTTTTATCATTTTGTTTCTATATTCCCTTAGGGTTGCAGATTAAGACGTGAATATCGCGCGTACAAAAATATCGAAAAAAAATTTGCTTCCACTTAATAATAAAAAAACAAAGTTCCGGGAAATAGTTGCGCAGATTCTCCCTAAGTTACGAGAGCATTTCGCACCATCTTGTCGTAGATGCTACTTTATTAAACTGCTTAGAAACCAGTGTGGAAATTTTAAGAATAGTGTTTGTCGACGCCTATTTAATTGTCTGCCACATTTAAAACCAATTCACATAACTTTCTGATCTTTCTACTTACCGCAGGCGGGCTTCCAACGACAGAGCAACGGCATTCATTGTAGCGTTACTGCAGTTCAAACTTCTCTTTCTTGCCGTATCAATATGCATGCATTATGTATATGAACATCATTTGACTCTTAGTAAGCGTATTTGCCATTCTGAAGGAATATTTTATATTACCTTCGTTGGGCGCATTACCCTCTGTATGCGTAATTTATGTAGGTATACAGTGCAATCCGCTCCTAACTATGATGAGAAAACCCGCAAGATATAACCGAATATCGTTTTACCTAGACTACAACCTGATCGTCTCTAGTCTAGAAATTCTAGAAACTCAACGTTATAAGCGACACATAGTTATATGTAGCATCGTTACCAGTGGATCGCTGAGTCTGTACATTAAATGCGTGCCGCCTACTTCGTGGGTCACAAATTGAAAGAAGAACAGGAAAGTGCGTAGGGCTCGCCAAGAAATGCCATCGCGTTTGAAAAGCAGACTCATTCACCAATAATTCTTACGCTCGACTCAAAAGAGAGCAGGGAAAAGAGCGGGAAATCTCCCGTTGATAGAGGAAAGGGGCTCCAGAAGGCGGGTCGACGACGCACTCACCACGAGCCGACTTCCACAGAGCTTGTGGTCGATGTCGAGGACGTAGGCGTCCCTGGGGGATTCCGGGTCCCCCAGGACTACGCATGCGTCGTCCTTGGTGTCCTCCACGGAGATCTTTCCTCCGAAGAACGGTCCGGTCCTCACCACCACTCGGGACGAGTTGGCCAGGCACCGCTCGGCACGAGCGGAAACTGCCGGAAAACGGACAGGACGGATAGATGCGCACGTCTGGAGAATTTCTTTTCTAATCAGGCAGCGGCATGAGCCACCTAGGAAACGTCTTTGATAGCAAATATTAACCAGTGCCTAATACAATGACATAGAAAAAAGAAGGGGGGGGGGGGGAGGCGATCAACCCCCCCCCCCCCCTTTTTCTTCAGATTTAAGACCTTCCGCGGGTTTTCGCGCTCATCTTTATCCAAGCAACGGCCAATTTAATCCAAGTGCAACTAAATTTAATCCAAGCGACACGAAATTTAATCTTTGCGCTACCCAATCTCATCCCGGGGTCAGTCAATTTAATCCACAATATATATATATATATATATATATATATGCACTTATTGGGCAGGGGGGGTCTTCAGTGTTCGTGTTTTGCTTCCACATTTCGTAACTTAGAATATTTGTTTATACGATTAGTTTTTTAGGGGGACAACTGATAATTTGATCACCATTGTGATTGCTTGGAGTTGCCAGTCCCACTATTGACGAGACTTAATTGATATGTTGATTACTCTTTTTGTAATCTGTGGCGCACTCGAATATATTTTAGCTGAATAGACGTTTTGTTTAATCTTTCTTATCACTCGACTTATCCTTGATGCAACTAAGATAATACAAGTACAATTGAAATTTATGATTACTCTTCTGATTACTTCGCGCTAATAATAACACACTAATATTATTTAAAGTTTAGTTGTATGGCTTCCAAGCTTCTAATCTTTTCGACCTATTAATAACACAATTTACATATTAAAAGTTTAACAAACATTTTTTATTACTCTGTCGAATACTTTGACGAAATATTGACAAAGATATAAGTTGGTAGAGGCTTTTACAACTTTACCGTTTGCCACTTCACCGTTTACAACTCCTTGTAACGCCGAATTAGAGCGCAGCTCTTGAGGAGGAGGAGGGAAGGGTACTAAGGGGAGGGTGTACTCCTCCTCCCTCCTCCTCACCTCCTCATCCAACTGCTCCTCCCTCCGAGCGGCGTCGTCGTAACCGTGAGGTCACGTGACCCTCGTGACCTCGGGGGGTCACCTGACTCCCCTCAGGGGTGTCAAGTGACACACCTCGGGGTGGGGGGGGGGGGTCATTGGGGTGACGTGACCCCCTCAGGGAGGTCACGGCCTCCCCCCCCCCCCCCCCCCCCGAGGGATGCCAATTTTTTGTGCTCATTTCTTTAAAAAAAGGGCTGCAGTATTCATATATATTTTTTTGTTTTGCGAATTGAGGTATTTCCGCCATATATGGGAGCAAATACGGCCATATTCCGCCGTATACACCAACTCATGTTTACAAACAAACCGGAGCGCCCCTAGCGGACGCCACCGGCGCCGCGCATGCGCGATGGGGGTGTGGGCAAGAAGCTCGCCGGCGCCCATAAACAAACCATTGAAATGCGATCTTGTTGGCGTCGGTGTGAGTCCCCGCGCTCTTTTTCGCATTAGAATTGTTGATTCTACGTCCTCCTAACGATGTCTTACTACTTAAGCATCGTCAGCGAAATTAACGAGGTTTGTTACACCGCAAAACTTCACGTGAATAATCTGTCATGCGGCGATTCATTCCGCGTGGACGCCGCAGAAAGTACGCTAAAGTCTGATTCACATGATGAAATTTCGCTGCCAATTTTCAGTAGCGACGTCACTTGGGCTGCAAAAGCGTGAACCGTATCTGAGATGGTCGACCTCGATACTAAAAATCGCAAGCAGAATCTAATCAAGTGAATCAGGCATAACAAGTCGGTGATGGCCAGTGGTAACAATGATCAACATCTCCTTGTATCTACTGTTTACGTCGAGCCTGCTTACCAACCTTCAAACTTAAGTTTTTTGAGGCCTGCACTTACTTCTTATCGCAAGTACCGGGCCCACGTTTGGTCTACGGGCCGGTATCCTCTAAAAGAGCAGACGACAAGCAGAAACGTTTGAAAGAGCAGACGACAGTTCGAACGATCAGGCGGCCGTTTGAACTTGAAGACGCACTGAACGTAGTCCGCAGGTGGTCCGTACAACTTGTCGGTTTTCCGGCGTTCATGTTGGAATAAAACAAATAAATCTGATGGCCAGAAGCATCCGTGAATTCAACCCAAAGTACTTCCCACCCAAGCAATCGCGGTCCGATGGCGTCTGGTTTTCCCTTTTCACGGCACATATCCACGTTCTCGGACGAACTGAGCGCATGAAAACTGACCTTCAAACCTTTCTCGACTCTTTTGGTAGAGCCCCAGTCGCAGCATTTTGACGAGAAGGCAAGTTTTTGTCTGGTTCCTATCAAAACAACGCAGGAATACACGTCTCACATGGGCACTTCCGTCCACAGCCCAAGACCGGAAGTGCGTCCGACGCGCCACCACCGCGCCGTGACGTAACAGGGATGAGTTCGTGTATAAGTGTTCAAATACTGCCAGATGTGGCCATATAAGTGCGTAAATACGGCCATATACGCGTGAAATTATAGCCCCTGATATTGATATATGAGCCCGTTTCGGTCGTGCAAGCAATAAGTCATATGTACTCGCCAAGCCACTAGTTGATTGATATATATATTGCATGAGTCTCATGTAATTGGTTAACTATTCTTAACATCCTTAAAGTGAAGTTATTACAGGTATTTGGACCAATTAATCAATCGCACATTTTGAAGATTGAAAGGCAAATGAAATTTGGTTGTATGTTTGACGTGTGACAATATGACGAAGTGCATAAGATCGGAAAGCGAGTTAATCAAATAATGGATTTTAGATCGCAGCTCTTATGCGTCCATTTCCGAGTTAAGCGGTGTCGGCGTCGCCATCGGTGTAAGCGCCCCGCTAAATTTAACGAGAAATTGAATTGGTATGTATGTCACGTGAGGTTAATTTTCCCGCTAAATCTAGCAGTGAAACTCATTTTGTTCATGTTTCCCAGCTAAATTGAGGGGCGAAACACGAACCGTTAGCTTACTGAAGATGCAAGACGCTACTTTGTCGTCCCGAATCCTTTTCCCTTCGAACGGCTGCGAAGCTGTTGCGCCCGGAGTACGTTCTCTACGCAGAATCTTTCAAAAACCGTTCGCGCAGCACCGCAACCTTCCGTTTGCGAACGCTGCGATTCATCGTGTTTTGAAAGCGGAAAGATGTGCTGTCCGTGGTGTCTTTTATGTGTAACTCTTTCGTGAAAAAAATTGAAACTTAAAAACGTGAACCTAACAGTTAGAAGAGGAGGAAGGAACGCCAACCAAAAATAAAAAGGAGCCCAACGTTTCGAAACCTGCTTGGTTTCTTCTTCAGGGGCGACTGTGTGCGCGAGGAGCAAGTGGTCTTCTTTTACGGCGGTGGACGTGATGTTTTCGCGATCGTAATGTGGCTGAGCCCGCTGACGTAAGCCGACGGTGAAGCGCCAAGCGACCGATTGATGTTTTGCGGTGTGGTTTGAATGTGCCATGACTCGACGAAGAGCCTTTGCCGGGAATTGGTCTCAATGTCGAGGATACGTGTGTCGTCGAAGTCAATGCGGTGGTCATTCGAGTCACTGTGTTCCGCAACCGCGCTGCGCTCATGATCGAATTTTCGCACGTCGGTTTTGTGCTGGCGAAGTCTTTCTTTAAAGTTTTTGGTTTCGCCGATGTATGTGGCAGGGCAGTCCGCACAAGGAATCTGGTAAATAACGCCTTGCGCTCTTTCCTTTGGGGGACGATCTTTTGGCCGGGGCATCAGGTGTCCAAGCGTTGACACTGGTTTGTGGGACATCTGGATGCCTTCTTTTGCCAGCACACGCGCGAGCGCTTCGCTGGTTTCCTTTATGTAAGGGACGCAGATGCGCGTGGTTGAGCGGGGATGTGCGATTTCTTGTGTTTCGCCGATTGGTCTTAGGCGTCGATCAGATTTACGTTGACGACGAGCGATTCGCTGAATAAAACTGCGTGTGTAGCCGTTATTTAGCAGGTCGGAGATGATGGTTTCTTCTTCCTTTTTTCTGTAGTCCTCCGACGAGCAAATAGTCTTCGCTCGGGACAGGAGTGTCCGGACGACCGACGCCTTGTGGCTCGCAGGGTGGTTTTTTTTATTTTTGGTTGGCGTTCCTTCCTCCTCTTCTAATTGTTCTTACCCAACCAGGCAGATTTCTGCCAAATGTTTACTTCGAACCTAACAGTGTAGGCATAATTTTAAATTTATTGGTAAAAATATATATACATATTTATTAATCTCTTTTTTGTGAACATCGTGAGCAAAAAAAAAATAGTCACACTTAAATTTTCATTTAAAATTATAATGTGGGTTATACAGCGTAAGACATAGTATCTTCAAACTCGCATCGTTTTGGGTCACTTCGCGCTGGACAGTTTCTTTGGAAGTTCAAAAGCATGACTTCATAGAGCGGTATGTTCACTGGGTGTAGACAGCAGGGTTGACGCTATGCATGTTTTAGGCCAATCGTGTCTCCGGTTAGGGTCACATGACTACAGTCTCGAAGCTGGTGATAAAGCAGAACACGGCACTATCAACCTTGGGTACAAGTGACAAATCCGCTCGTTGTGGACGCGTTCATGCCCCTTAAGATAAGCCTTTTGTGTGTGTGCACTCCCGTTTCGGCCTTTCCTTCTCTCCTTTTCTCTCTCTCCCTAAGCTCAAAGTGGGGTAGAAGGTGCGTGGTCACGTCGTTTGACGAATGACGCATGAGCTGTTGGTAATCTCGGCCGGATCTAGTTTGGCGTGTGTTGGCCCTTCGTGGCAGCTGCGGATTTTTGCTTCTGCAAGCGACTTCTTCAAAGAAGGCCAAGAATTTTTTGTGATGCGTTTAGTGTTCGGTTCCACGGATGACAGCTTGTGCTACATCGTGTTGAATCTTCACAAACACTTTCCTTCTCGTTTCTGTGTTCTGCCGTGGCCGTGTCCACACGTATCTCGGATTACAACTTTCAAGTCCGGTCTCGTCAACGTAAGTGCGGTGCAAGTCTGCAACCTACTTCACGACAATTGATCGTT